CATAGGGACAGTTTTACCCCATCCTACGTGGTCCCATGAGTCAGAATTAACTTGATGACAGTGAGCTTGGTTTGGGACTGAGGTAAAGTCAAGTGGACAACTGACCGTGTCTGTGTCCCTGAACTGATGGCAGAGACATGCTGTTTGGAATAAATACAAGTAGGTGTAAAGTAGAACCCCAGTAACAAAATGTGTTGATTCCCACGTGTATTTAGGGTAGCAAATGAAAAATACAAGGTAGCCAATCAATTTTGGAATCACTGAGGATTATTTTTTTCTCAATTTATTGATGAATTTGAGAACAAAAATGTGTCTCTGATATGTTAGCATTGTTAACTGGTATTGACTGAGTAACAATCACAGAGAAGTGAGGCTTCCTTATCAAAAAATTAAGTTTTTAACTTTCATTTATTCATAACGACCCTGTAGAGCAGAATAGACCTTTCTCATATAGTTTCCAAACTATAACCTTGATGGAAGCATTCTGCTACAACCCCCCCCCCACCCTGAGGGGGAAATCGGTGGCTTAGAACAACCACCTTTGTGGTTGTCAACTGCGCGCATAACCCTGAGACGCCAGGGCTCAGAATCGACTGCGCTGCAATAAGCTGGTTGTAGAATTTTACTGAGCAGACCTCGTGGTGCAAATGATCTGTGCTGTGCTGCGGACCGGAAGCTTGATGGTTTGACCCCATTTAGTGGCTGCATAGGAGAAAACCTAGAGGTGAGGGTTCTTAAAGGTTAAATTGGGCAATGAATGTACAAATGTGCTTTACACAATTGATATGTGTATGGATTGTGGTAAGAGTTGCATGAGCCCCTAATAAAATGATTTAAGATAAAAAAAACGGTTAAATCAAGCCATATTAATTCTATTGCCATAGTCTATTCTGAATCTTAGCAAGCCTACAGGACTCTAGAAACAGTCCAAAAGTTGTATTGGCTGTAATCTTTACCGCAGCCGACTGTCACACCTTTCTCCTAAAGAGCAGCGAGGACCTTCCCCCAACTTCCTTTAGGTTAGCAGTCTCTCTTCTAACCACAGGCTCCCAGGGGTCCTTTCCAAGGTCACTGCCAAGAAAACACGGTGGAGCAGTTCTTCTCTGTCATTTGAGTCCTTCGAGTTTGTTATGAGTAAAAAAGGGCTTGGCAGCACCTAAGAACCAGAACATTCTCTCATATGACTGTGTTATGACGAGTATTTTGAAGCAGCCTTCCTGGGAAACGAAAATGACAGCTACTTCTTCTGTGAGCACAGTGCAGTCAGATTGAAAAGCTGCCTTCATTCAAGTGGTGCAATTAAATCGGAATTGGTGGTTAGGGTACAGTGTAATGTAAAAGCAAAACAACACAATATCCACACACCAACACATACACACGAATCCCCTAAGTTGGGGTCTAGACTATGGCACAAGTAAGAACTCAGAGCAGTTTGAAGATCAAGTACATCTAAGAATCTCTATAAGTTTAATGAGGGCGGGGCGGGGGGGGGCGGGAATCAGGAATTAAATCTTAGGGTCCCCCAGTTATATCTATGACTTAAACAAGATTTCAACCATTTTTGCATCTTTTATTATGAATAAAGCGTGACAAACACCTAGGGAGGTAACAAATTAGAACTGAAAGACACTCCTCTGAAGAACCTTAACAGGAAAACTGAAAGCAGGATCAGAATCAGAATAAAGTAGGGAGTGCTTAGAAATGATTAGATACGAAATGTTTCCGGCAGGTAGTCCATGTGAAATGGTTACTGTGTTAGTCCAGGTAGATTAGAGAAACAAATCCATAGAAACTCATATATGTATGAGAGAGAGTTTTATATAAAGGGTAAGTGTACATTCAGAAAGCATACAACCCAGTCCAGTCTAGCCCTTATGTCTGATACCAATCGATAAAGTCCTCTTCAGACTCACAAAATGCATGCAATGACGCTGAATGCAGGACAATCACAGGCCAGTGGGTAGAAAGCCTTGGATCCAGTGGCATAGTAAGCATCTCAGCGCTGGCAGGGGTCTCTCGGTGGCTTCTCTGGCTTCAGAGGTCTGGTTGCACCAGAGTAGGTCCATGTGGCTTCTCCAGCTCAGGGCACTAGGGTAGTTCCATGTGTCTTGTCAGCTGCAATGTCTCCTGGGAGTGAGCAGAGAGAGAGAAGTGTCTCCTGCCTCCAAGGAGGAAATACCGGAGCTCCCAGAATCCTCAGGAGAAGGCCGTGCCCACACAGAGGCCTCATTGGCTATGACTCTATTGACAGACTAGACTTCACCCTTAATCCTCTCACGTCCCAAACTGACATCAGATTATGTAATTACCACAACTAATAGGCCATAATACTTGTGATACAGCATAATGTGGTCTAGAGCCACACTCCATAATACAATCACCACCAATTTACAAAAAGGAGAGAAATAAGATGACCAATTTCAAGAGAATTAAAAAGCAAATGAAATGAACTATCTTCAGTTTGAGTAGAATTCCAAGATAGGACTAAAATAAAGAATACACTTAGAGCTCTGGATTATACTAACAATAAAAGCTGCTGTTAAATCTACTCTGATTCAAGGAAACCCCATGTATGTTAGAGTAGAAGTGGGCTTCATTGGATTTTCAGTGGAATATTTTTGGGAAAAGATTGCCAGATAATTGCTTTCTAGGAGCTTATGGGTATGCTAAAATGTCCAACCTTTAGTTAGCATCAAAGGGTGCTAGTCATTTGTACCAACCAGGGATTCTCTATTGCTAATATAAGATTATAAATGCTGGAGTTTTTGTTTTCGTGTAACAAACAAGGGGTCAGAAAAGGAGTTAAGAGTGATGGAGGATGTAGATTTTCATTTTCAATATAATAATTTGAAAGAAATTTGAAACCTCCAGATGCATCCATCTAAGCCTGAAAGATTGGGTCTGAATTGTGAATTATTGAAAATTAAATGCTAAATGGAAGCCATGAGATTTCTTGGAATACACATGAAAAAAGACTATAGAAGCAGAAGAGAAGAACTCCAGAAGTCTGGGGAAATTCAATGTTATAAAGGTGAAAGGGGAAAAATAACTTTAAAGAAGAGGAAAGGCACAACAAAAACACAAAGTGAATATCGTGGGACTATCATGCAATCCGCATGTTCAGAGCATATTGAGAAAGAAGGTGAGTGATTTGGTGTTGCCACATAAAAATGCTACATTTTATTTAACTTTAAAGACATCACCACTACCCTTAACAATAATATTCTCAGTGGGAAGGCATGTTCATATGCAATATCATAAATAGTTGAATAAAATGAAAGTGGAAAGTAGAGACGTTTACTGCAAACAATTGAAACAAGCATGGGGAGTGAAGTTGGGAACTTAATTCAATCCTTACAGAGCTGATTATAACATATGGGATTTTTTAAGAAAGAAAATGAAATAAAATAATAAAATATCAAGAATTTATTGCAAATCATTGAAAGAAACACAGAGAGTGAATTTGGAAACTTAATTCAACATTTACAGAGCTGATTATAACCGAAGTAATTTTTTTAAAGAAAGAAAGAAAAATGAAATAAAAAATAAAATATCAAATGGTATTATTCTGTTACACGAATCTTTTATCCCCTATCATGTCTCTCAGTTTTACGCACAGATTAAGCGGAAGTCAGGATTCAGGGATGAAAAACCACACGGCCATAACCACATTCATCCTCCTAGGACTGACAGAAGACCCACAACTGCAGATTCTAATTTTTATATTTCTATTTATCAGCTACATGTTGAGCATAACTGGAAATCTGACCATCATCATCCTCACATTAGTGGATTCCCACCTTAAAACTGCCATGTACTTTTTTCTCCAAAATTTCTCCTTCTTGGAAATCTCATTCACCTCTTCCTGCATTCCAAGATTTCTATACAGCTTATCAACAGGTGACAGGACCATTACCTATGATGCTTGCATAAGTGAAACATTTTTTATAGACCTTTTTGTAATAACCGGTATTTTCCTCCTAACCACTATGTCCTATGATCGATATGTAGCCATCTGTAAACCCCTGCACTACATGACCATCATGAACCACAGGGTCTGCCAAAGGTTTGTCTTAGGCTGCTGGATGATCACTTTGTTGCTTATAGTCCCACCTCTCATCCTGGGACTGGAACTGGAATTCTATGATTCTAATGTCATTGACCACTTTATTTGTGATGTCAATTCTATTCTGAAAATCTCTTCCACAGATACATGGTTCCTAGAACAAATGGTTCTTATTTGCTCTGTAGTAATCTTTGTTATCACTTTCATATGTGTGATTTTGTCCTACATATATATTATCAAAACAATTCTAAGAATCCCTTCTGCTCAACAAAGGAAAAAGGCTTTTTCTACTTGTTCTTCCCACATTATTGTGGCTTCCATCACTTATGGCAGCTGCATCTTTGTCTATGTCAAACCTTCAGCAAAAGATGAAATGAGCACTAATAAAGGGGTAACAATACTAACTACATCCATTTCTCCCATGTTAAATCCATTTATTTATACCCTGAGGAACAAACAAGTCAAGCAAGCCTTTAATGATTTAATCAAAAGAATTTTTTTCCTCTCAAAGCATTAGCGATATAATGAAATTTAGGTAGCAGAGCATAATTTTTCTTAATTTTCCCTTCTATCTTGGGGTTGGAGATACCAATAAGAATTAACAGCAAGACTCTAGCTCTAGAGTTTTCTTGCTTAAGTGAAAGTTTCTTGGTTGCCTAAGAAATTTTAGATAATGAGGCAATACTTTAATGAGGTGCGGTTTTTTTATGGAGTTAGCCTTTGTTTTAAATTTTAGCAGGAAAAAATAATTCTGAAGACCATTTTAGATGGTTGTATCATTAAAACCCACTTCCTTTTGATGTATAAGGAGCCCTGGTGTCATAATCAGTGCTCTTTGGGCTTCTAACAGCAAGGTCAGCAGTTCAAAACCACCAGCCACTCAGTAGGAGAAATATTAGGCTTTCTACTCCCATAAACAGTTACAGTCTCAGAAACTCACGGAGATTCTACCCTGTCCTATAGGGTCACTGTGGGTAAGAATCAGCTCAATGGGAGTGAATTATTTTGTTTGTTTGTTTCTTTTTTCATTTGGATGTATACCTTCTACAGTCTGGGTTGGTTACAGCGAAAACATCCCCTTAGCTATTTACTGTTTTTGACAACATAAGCAGATAACAGGCCTTTGACAGGAGAGCAAATGGATTTTCAGGAAAGTGATAGATAAAGAATTTAATTCATCAAGAACTAAGTTGAATTTAATAATTTTTGTTTTGCTCAAAAAAAATTTTATGTATTTTTCGTGTACAATGATAATTTAATATTTAAAGCAATGAATACTAACAATTGTTATGTGAAGATAAAAATACAAAGGTAATATTTTTCGTTGATCTATGATTAAAATAGTAAAGAAAAGAATCATTCATTTTAAATATTCTGATATGTTTTTATTTCTGAATGCAAGAGTGATAAAGCAATCCAAGATTGTATAGGCAATTTACAATGTAAATAAACCAGAATATACTACACATTATTTTATAATTATCATTATTAATGTACAAAAAGAAGCTTTAAAAAGTGAACAAGAATTTAAAACCAGCTCATTGAATTTTAAAGGATCTTCTTGTTTGATACATGTCCTTGGTTCTCCAGAGAGGCATAAAGATGACTTCAGAGACAGTTCAAGAAACACCTACCAGGAGTTAAATGACAAGATTTATATATCTTAGACACTATACAAAGATAAAAATTGCATGGAATTTACTTTAATACATTCACATTAATATAGTCTCCATAATAAATTAAATTAATTACTGGATTTAGGCAATGTACCATAGTAATATTGATATGAAAGTTTTAAAAGCCAAATTATCAATCAATAGAAATGCAGAGCAATTTGAAATGGATAAAAATGTGATCGCAAGAGAACAGGAACAAGAAAAGTGTTCTGTGTAATCTTGAGACTTCAAGCTTCATTGAGAAAGTTTGTTCCGGTCATCGGTCAGCTGCCACTTCTCTATTGCCATAGCCTCTACCTGAGATTTCACTAAATTACTGGAAGATCTGGCAAGAATTCACAATATAATATACAGCTTGTAAGAGTAATCCTCCAATTCAAGCTACATATCACAAACAAAAAATGTCTGTGGCCAAAGTTCAGCCATACTAAAGCCTCTAGGCAGGTTGCCTTCCACTACGGTTCCATGTGCCCAGGTAAGAAGGCACCAAAACATGACTGAGGAAGCACTGCCTTCTCAATGCAGAGTCAATGTGAATGGCATGTGTGGAGTCAACTATGCAGGGGGAAAGCCTTCAGGACCTGTATCTGCTGATGGGACATTAATGAGAAGGGGCAGTAGCAAACATCAACTAATAATCAGAACCAGAAATGTACAAAGCATGACCCTAGGAAATTTAGAGGTCGTTAGAAATGGAACACAAAGAGATCAATATTCTAGGCATCAGGGAACTTAAAAGGACTGGAATTGGCCATTTTGGATCAGAAAATGATACGGTTCACTGTGCCAGGAAGGACACAAAGAGGAATGGCATTGCAGTCAAAGTTTTAAATGATACGATAATGTCTATCTACCTACAAGGAAATCCAATCAATATAACTATTATTCAGATTAATGGACCAAGCACTGAATCTATTGATGCAGAAATTGAAAAAGTCTACCAACATATTTAATATGAAAGTGATAAAAATGTAATAAAAATACATTGTGTTAATCTGGGTAGACTGGAGAAACAAAATTCATAGACACTCATATATATATAAGAAATAGCTTTATATACAAGAGCAGTTGAATATTGAGAAAATGTGTCAACACAGTCCAGATCAAGTCCATAAATCTGATATTACCCCATATGTCCAATGCCAATCTATAAAAGTCCTCTTCAGATTCACAAAACACATACAATGATATTAAATGCAGGAAGATTGCAGACCAGTGGGTGGGAAGTCTTGTGGATCCAAGGGTGTTGTAAGCATCTCAGCACTGGCAGGGGTCTCCACGTGGCCTCTCCAGCTCAGGGCACTAGCGTAGTTCCATGTGTCTTGTCAGCTGCAATGTCTCCCAGGGAGTGAGTCTGTCTTCTGCTTCCAGCAAGCTATTTATCTCCTTAGCGGCTCCAAATGAGGTCATCAAGCTGAGACCTGATTGACAGACTAAACACCACCCCTTCACTCTTAATACTCAAACTCCATCCCTTTACTCTTAATACTCAAATTGACAATAGATTATGGAACTACCACATACATTGGTAATTATAGTAATAGGAATGTGGAAGTTGGAAAGAGGAAGGAAAAAATCGGAAAATATGATGTTCATGATAGAAACAAAACCCAAGATCACAGATAGAACTTTTTAAGACCAATGACTCGTTCAGAGAAAATATTTCTTCTCAATAACACAAAGAGCAACTATACACATGGACAGTTCTACGTGGAATGTACAGAAATCAAACTTACTACATTTGTGGAAAGAGATGATGGCTAAGCTCAATATTAGCATCCAAAGCTAGACAGGGGCAAACTGTGGAAGAGATTATCAATTGAAAAGAATACACTGTAAAAAGCTGCAGTTGATATTCAGACATTTTAAGAAGTAGCATATGATCAATTACCAACGATACCAAAAGAAGAGGTCCAAACTGGAGTGAAAGAATTAGTCAAAAGCAAGACTTCAGGTATTGATGGAATACCCATTGAAAAGTTTCAAAAAGTACTGAGAGCATTCACTCATCTATGCCAAGAATTTGGAAGAAAGCTACTTCGCTAATTGACTGGAAGAGATTCATATTTGTACCTATTGCAAAGAAAAGCGACCCAACAGAATGTACAAATTAGAGAATATCACTGATATCACATACAAGTAAAATTTTTCTCATCCAGGCTCAGTGAGGTCTCATTCAGAAGATGTGGAATAAAGGACACTATTGCTGACATCAAATGGACATTGGCTCAAAACAGAGAATACCGGAAGGATGCTTACTTGTGTCTCATTGACCATGCAAAGGTCTTCCACTGTGTGGATCATAACAAACTATGGTTAGTCTTGAGAATAATGGGAAATTCAAAATACCTCACTTTGCTCATGGAGAACCATTCATTGGATCAAGAGGTGGTTATGCAAACAGAACAAGGGAAGACTGCAAGGTTTAAAATCAGGAAAGGTGTGTGTCAGATTATATCTGCTCACCATATTTATCCAATCTATATGCTGAGCGCATAATCAGAAAGGCTGGATGACATGAATTAAAATGCATTATCGGATTTAGAGGGAAACTTTTTACAACTTTTGATACACAGATGACACGACTTTGCTCAAAGTGAGGAGAACTTGAAACACTTGCTGATGAAGATCAAGGATTGCAGCCTTCAATGTGGATTACAGCTCAATGTGAAGAAAACCAAAATCCTCACAACTGGACCAACAAGTAACTTCATGATAAACAGAAAAGGTTCGGAGTTATCAAGGATTTCATCTTGCTTGGATCCACAGTCAGTGCTCATGGAAGCAGCAGTCAAGAGATCAAAAGACACATGGCATTAGGCAAATATGCTACACAAGACCTTTTTTATGTGTTGAAAAACAAGGATGTTACTTCGAGGTCTATGGTGTACTTGACTTAAGCATTATAGGCATGGGAAAGCTGTGCATTGACTAACAAAGACCGAAGAAGAAGGAATGCATTTGAATGATGTGCTGAAGATTGAAAGTACCATGGGCTGCCAAAAGAGTAAACAGGTCTGTCTTGGAAGAAGAGCCAGAATGCTGCCTAGAGCAAACTTCATCTTGTGTGCTTTGATCAAATTATCAGGATAGACTGGTCCCTGCAGAAGATTTTGTGCTTGGTAAAATGGAGGGGCAGTGAAAAAAGAGGAAAGCTCTCAACATGAGGAATTTACACAGTGACTGTAATGGTGGGCTCAAACAGAGTAATTGTGAGGCTAGCACAGGACCAGGCGGTGTTGGGTTCTGTCGTGCATAGCGTTTTTTTGGGTTGGACCCTACTTGGCGGCACTTAACAATATTTTTTTCTGATTCTCTGGTTCTGTCATACCCTATATTATATACCCCATATTACTGATTCACAAGCTTAAATCTAGGAGATTTTACACACACACACACACAAGTGTATATTGTTAGGTGCCATCCATTTTTAGGAGTAAGGTCTGACTCATAACTACAGTATGTTCAATAGAACAAAACACTGCTTGGTTCTGTATCATCCTCACAATTGTTGCTATATATGAGAGCCCATCGTGTCACTCTATCGTTTGAGGGTTGTTACACATCAATAAACTTTTACATATATATACATATATACACTATGGAATACTCCAGTGGTCAAATTTGGTTAACTTTTAATCTTTGCTTCTTTCTCCCTATAGGAATTTCTTTGCCTACTCCATTAAGATAAACAATGTAGATATCAAATGCTAAGTGTCTGAACTTCAGTATTACCATTATATGTGACCGCTCTAACACAACCCATATATACATATATGGAGGGGTAAAATCATTATTTTCACTGGTCTGATATCCCTAGGTGCACAGTTATATCACATAC